CAATATACACCTCGGGGCGGGTCATTAACTCTTAAATAATAAACGTTTGATAAGTCAAAACAATTTTATCTATTTTTTTTTAGTCAAAAATAAAGAAGAGGGCAGGTTAGGTTTCAAATACATCAACAACCTCAAAGTCTTTTTTCTGTATCGTAGAGTAGAAAGGTCAATTGGCTGTGAAGTATTTATCATTTCCTTAAATTGTTTCTCAGTCTTTCTAATGATATTAACTGTAAATGACTGTGAAGGGGTTTTAACACTAATTAGTGCACGTGGTTTATAAATGAAACTATTTTTTTCTGGGCATGATCTGTTCTATAACACGTGAAAAAGGGAACAACTTCTCAACTTGAACCAACTTTATATATCTGTAGAACGATTACATCGCACGTACAGTTGAACATTATCACTGTGATAAATCAATGCGTGTAGTCAGTTTTGCGTAAGAGGCCCAGTCGAAAGAATTCGAAGTGGATTGAAATGTAAATAGAGCGTCAGCACATTTTTATACATAAAAACAAATACGAAACTCCGCACCAGGTCTTAGTCTTTTTTAATTGCGTACAGCTTACCTATATGGCTATATTATCAGTATTAGACGTTTTTATTGTGATGTATGAGAACCTATAAATGGTTGGAGTAGATAATGAGAATTAAACTGTTCTGTAACTCAAGGAAATTTGACTCACCGTAATTTCGACCGACGTTCTTTCCATCTTCATCAGCTATCTGACCCCAGTGCTGTAGACACGTTTTCCGCACGTGTACACGTGACGTCAGCACTGGGTCAAAGTTCGTCGGAAGTCGGTACCGCCCCCTGTCCCGGTTCGAGTAGACTTTGTTTCATGTGGTTTATATTCACATGGATGTCATAAATGTCAATTTTAAGATTTAGAAAATCCATCAATACAACAAGGGAGTTAAAAATTTCTTTCTTTTATTATCTTAATTTCTTAAGAAATGTAAGACGAATTCCAAAAAAAAGTGGAAACAAGTACAGTAACTTACTAAATTGCTTTGATGTTACCGTAATAAAGATAATTGGTAATTTAAGTATTACTGTGAGAGAATTTCTGTGAAAACCGAGCTTTTCCGTATATGATAACATCTACACCACAGTGAGTCCTTGCCATTCTGTCGTTTATTCCTAATGATTTCCCGCGACGAGTGTAGGTGGGATCATTTGGACATCCCCGCCAGTGTGACATGCGGCACAAGCGGTGCCTGGACGCCCATCAAACAGAGCGGGTTGTTATGGTGCGGATTAGTCCCCCCGTCCGCCGGCCGTACCGAACGGTGCTTCAGCTCTCCCCGTCCCGCAATCCGCCGTTTGTCAACCGTTAAATGTCCCGCATGACGGATGACGGGAGTGTCTCGTCCCGCCTGTCGGAATCTCCGCTGCTATCTCAGCATTATCCGCTGACAAATAACAAATTACCCCCGCTAAGACGGCGATAAATATGCATTTGTTCCCAAAGACGTCGCATCGCAGA